TTTGAGATGGTGAGTTAACCAAGGATGTTCTATAAGCTTTAATCTGTGTTTTATTTTTAATTGTTGTGTTCTGAATTGCCCCAGAATTAATTTTTGATGAGGGATAGTGTTAACATGGAGCTTCATAGTAGATAGGAGATATGAAGCATGCTGTCTTGCACCCAGTTCCGGCTTTTCCTGCACTGGGCTGCAGGCTTCTCAGACACACCCCAAGCTATAGGAAATCTTATCTCTTTCTCATCATGCTCAAGCCATCATTTCCCTCCAAAATGTTACCACTAGCCTTGTTCACACATATATGCAAGCCTATTTGTGTTTATGCAAATCCATGAACCCAGAAATATAAGGTTCTTGTGTATGTATATAGTTTAAACAGAGATTTTATACTGCAGCAAAGTGGGAAAATCAACTCTCTGACTGGTGAAGAGTTTATTGTATCACAGCATTTTACAGAAAATGGAATTGACGGTTAGTATACTAACTTCCTAGCTCTGATCTTAATAATAGTGTTAGAGAAAGAAAAGATGGGGTCAGGGAGTTCACTAAACAAGGGGCAGGAAGGGCGCTACAGAAACAACGAGGGAGGGCTTGGGAGTTAAGTGTGATGGGGGGATCATTTTAGTTTCAGTGGCCAAGGGCCAGAAGAGGGACAGAATAGATGATAGTATAGCAACTTCAGAAGAAAGAAGGAAGAAAAAATAATTAGATACAGGCAGTCCCCAAATTATGAATCTCCAGGTTACCTGTACTTACGAACTAATTGCCCTGAAGCCTATTCATTTTTAAAAATTACTGTGGAAAATAATAATCATCACATAGCGAGAGAAAAGCAGAGAGAGGGAGGCCTCCAAAGCATGCTTTCCTGCTTCACCCATTGGAGAGGGAAATCTCTATGGTATTTCCCTGATGGAAAGAGGAGGCGCTGATGGGTTTGGGTGGGTGGGTGTGTCTAGAGATAGGTCCTGTGCCCCTAATCCTTGTGAATGTGGAGGGCTGACTATATGTGATCTGACTTGCACACAAATTTGACTGAAGGATGAATTTCCGTTTTCTCAGGAACATAACTCATTCGTAACCTGAGGACTGCTGTATTTTTATCTAATTTCAGGCTGAAAGGAAGCCAAAGAACCTCACTTTCTGGTTGCACTGAAACGTTCACTGGGCACAGGTCACCTTGACCATTACTAAACTTGGGAGTCACTGGGTTGTCCCCTCAGAGCACATCATGATATGTATGGTTCCTTTCAGTTATGGCTGGAAAACTGTACCGGGTGCTACACTGGGAGGGTAGTTCACTCTGGCTGTACAGATTATGACTTTGTGGGTAGTAAGGTGGTGCATGTAAGAGAAGAGCTCTGCCCCTGGAAACATCACAGTAGGAGGGGAGGGTACTAAGGAGAGTTGAGGTGAACTTCAGGCAGACCCTGGAGTTTCATGAAACACCAGGTCCCATAATAAAAACAGGACGAAGCTATAATGGGTGGCTGGTCCTGAGGTGAATTACAGATTTTAAATTGGAAACACAAAGGGGCAGTTACTTTGGGTGGGCTCAGAGTGGAGGAGAATAGCTTTCTTCAGTCTCGTGCCTCTCAGCCATGTTGGACTACGACCCCCATCAGGGCCATTGACCATGTTGGTTATGATGGGCATTCTGGTCTAACAGAACTGGAGGACACCAGATTGAAGTGTGTACTACAACAATAAGCACTGTTCTTGCTCTTGATTTGGTTTCTTGAATTAAAAATTTAATATTTAATTTAATATTGAATTTAAATCAATATTTGATTGAATCAAGACTATCATTATTAATGATGATGATGACAAATTTTGTGATCTTTGAGTTGGCCTAGTGAAGGTATTACATTAATAGAGATTTTACTAGGTTTGTTTGTTTTTTATGCCCAACACCTTTGCTTCTTGTACTGGAAATAAGTATCAACTTTGGCTACATAGTAGTCAAGTAGTTCTGAACATTTGAGAATTAGTAAATCTGAGCTAAAAACCACCCAACTTTACTTCCTTATATTATGCAGGGTTCTGTAATAGCTTACCAGTGGAGCAATTTAAATTCTCAACAGGAATTAGCAGATGAAGTGGCATATCTTTAGGATAGGTAACAAAGAAGCAAAAAAGAGTGTAAAGGTAGACTTATTACAGAAGGATAATGTAACAACATAATATTTGCAGTAATCTCTTTCCACTGATGACCGGTCATGGATTATATCATCAGTATCATAGAATTGTGAAAGTGGAAAGGAACGAAAAGAAAGTCTAGCCCTGATTCATGATTTCGGCTGTGCATCCCCAAGGAATTGCTTCCTCTGTGCACTGTTACAATCTCTAATATACAAAAATTGCCCTCTTTAAAAATGTTGCTGTCTGTGCTGACAGCATACAGATGAATGTTTTTGTGGACTTTACACAATTTTGTGTAACTTTGTTGTGTAGAAGATGAAATGGAGAGGAGAAGGCATGTGTGCATGCGCGCGCACTATCTTTGGTTTCTTGCAAGAAGGGAAAAAAGATAATGTAATAATAAATAAAATGTTGGACCTTTGTTTCCTTTTCATATTTTTTAAGAGACATCATCCATGCATCTTTCCAAGCGGATGTAAGACCTTTGTATTAGGACAAGCCTTTAATGGCCAGGGATAAGCAAAGGTTTATTTTAGGAGTATGTGTTAGTCCTTGTTGATAGGGTCAGCTATAAATCGAATAAGTTAGTGTACAGCATGGAGCACAAGTGAAAAGGGCCTGCCACTCCAAACTGATAAGTTTGGTGCAACTAAATCCCAGTGGTTTAACACAAGTTAGCCATACTGCATGTCACAGGCACATGGGAAATGAGCTAGGTCATCAGCCCGTCGCTCTTCAAGGAAAATAGTTTTTGTCATTTGGAACATGAAAACAGGATTTGCAGCTTCGTTCTTCTGACAAACTTCTTTCTCTGATAGTTCAGAAGAAAGTAAGACAGGAACAAAACCTTGAAGGCATGGGTATTGTCTTGGTTTTTTTTGCAGTGAATCCTGTATAAATTCATACAGAGTCCTTCCTGATTCATTAGCTTAACTTTAACTATTTGGGATTTGGGCACCTGTAAATCCCCGCCTTATTATGGAAGGTAGTTTTGAACTTTCTGGGGGGGTTTTTGGACTCACACAAACTTTTAATGAGTTGCAATATATATTAAATATGTGCCGAGCAATCCTGTCCCAAGCAATCACTAGACAGTGCCTGGAGGGACATAGGATTTTTTGGAGGCCCAGCTCTGACATCAGAGCTGAGACTCCATGCATGCTTGTAGCACTTTCCTCCCAACGAGCAGTCCATTACCAGTACAGAAAGAATTACTGTGGCTCCTGTGACCTCAGACAAAGTGTTTAGTGAACATTCTGGGGGTCACTACGCTGCCAAGATATGATGTATCCTCATGTAAACTCAGACTGTTTCTTGTTTCAAAATGCAGGAGTTAGATGGCTGAAATTGGCTGTCCAGCTGTTTTGCAGAACAAGAGGAGCATGAAGACAACCTTCACCTCTGTGCTCCACTTGCTCTGCATAGGATGCTTCTAATTGTGCAAGGGTTAAAGGGAACCTCATTGAACTGCACCCTATATATTGTATATGTTTTTATTGGGGTCATGCCTAGGAAATAACAGTCATTTTGCTTTTCAAAAGTAAAGAATTTTGTTCAGAGGTCGCTTAAAATACTTTTTGAGGAAAGGAGTGAAAATAGTCTGTCACTGTTTTCAAAGTATGTATATATTAGATTTAGGGGGACCATAAATTATGTTCTCCTTAAAGTTGATTTGCATCTTAACTATTATTAATAAACATGTTTATGCTGCCTTTTCATGCGGCAGTTCTCAGGCCAAGATACATATTAAGACTGTACAATGCAACAGTGGTAAAATCAATGCAGTAAAGTTGGAAATTTGTTTAAACAACAACAATAACTGGAAAATTTATTTAGATTTTCAAAAGTTGTTCATTGATATGTTGTCATGAACACTGCTGCTAAATCTCAGAACCTGAACATAGATTAGTTATTTGTATATCCACAGATAGGTTATTCCATGGTAGTCATTTCTTTATTGCGGGGAGGAAGCTGCTTTGTTTCTTCATTACTAAAAAGTCACAGATGTGTGAAAAGTAGGCCACAGGTCAAAGGCTGCATGCCCCCTGCATGCACAAATTGAAAGTGACAGACACCTCTATGCTCCGCTAGTAATTTGCCTCCATGTTAAATGGCTATGAAGCAGTAATTGAAATGAAAAGTTCTTGAGTCCTGCCAACAGACAGATTGAGTTATTTATGGTAGAAGCAGCCACCAACAGTAATTGCAGCACATCCTTGAACAAATACAAGTTTTTTCATTCAAGAATAGCGCCAGGCTGACATGGGTCAGGGGGTCAAGCCCACTCAAACAAGAGGCCAGAGAAAGGCAAAATCAATGTTCTGCTCATCTTAACAAGAATCTGTATTGTCTATATTAACTACTTAGGTGTCCAAATTGCTGTTTATTCCTTGGAGAGCTAGTTAGTCCCTGTTAATCATTGCAGAAACATCACTAAGGGATTACGGCAGCTGCAAAATTTTAATATAACCATGCTTGTCCATTGTGTTCCTGCAGCATGATTGAAAGTGCTAGAGCAGTTTAACTGCCTCACTCTTTGTGCAGTTAAACAAACATTTTAAAGTGTATTCTACACAATCTTGCATGGAGACTTTTTTCCCTAATACAAGTTTGTTAACTGAACAGAACCACTCTAGTTATCTGCTATATTGAGTTATTAGAATGGGATAATTATCAGATATAATCCTAATGAAATCCAAGTTTTAAAATAATTGTGTTTGAATTGCATAGATATGAGTGAGCAGGTGGTTGTATGGGAACATTAAAACATTTCATTATTTTTAAAATGGGTTAAAACGTAAATCAGTGGGTCATACTTTAGTCATGCTTATAGGCTTACCTAAATGCATTTTTCATTTTAAGATGTTAGTACATTTACAGTTGAAATGCTTTCTCCTTTGTGCATTAGCAGAATCATACATGCCTTTTCAAAAATGTGATTTCATTTGTTTTCAGAAAACAAGTTGGAATAATTAAATCATTGCTTCAACTGGTCACCAAATCTATCAGATTTCACTAAGCAATCCAGTTTAAAACTTGTCAAGCAGCGGGGCAATTTGCCAAGGTTGACAGTGCACAGAAAGGATTTTAATGTGAACAATGATTTGTCTGAAAGTTTACATCAGATTGCTGGGGTTCTGTGTATTCATCATTCTTCAAGTGCAAGGTAAAATCACACTTCTTAAATTTCAATTTTTAAGAAAAGATTTTTATGTATGGAATATTCATTTGCATAGCCAACTGTGTTTTATCTTCAAATTGCATTTTGAAATAGATGCTGATAACCCATTGTAACTTTTGTAATGCTTTTGAAAACCGGAAGCTTAAACAGTCCTTTAGGAGTGTGGCATGAGAACCGAAAGGGGAAAACCTTGTACACACCTGAGAATGATTTGTGGGTTTCTGTCTGTTTGTGTGTTTTGTATTTTTGAAGAAAGCAGTATAGATTTTAGCAGGGGAACATGCTGAAAGGAAAACTTCTAAAATAACTCTCAGACATGGGAACATGCTGAAAGGAAAACTTCTAAAATAACTCTCAGACATGATATCCATATCTCTTAATCACAGGCATAGGTAAGAAGAACTTTTTGCTGCCTTCTGCAGCCCAGTGAGCCTTGTTTAAAAGGAATATGTAAGAACTGCTTGTCAAAACTAGCTTTCTCTTGTTGGTTTTGGGTTTCAAAATCCGACTTTGGGGAACAATTTCAGTGCTGAAATCTTAATCTGGAATAGAATAAGTTTGAGTTGGCACATGATTCTTAATTTTCATTTGTTCAGTTTTGGACTTCTGTGCAGGCACAGTTTTAGGAAATCCATTAATGCATATCTATATACGTAAGACAAATTTACTGTTGTGAATCATTGTGAATTTTTAGTATAATTTACAAAAATAGAAGATCTGAACCCTTCTGGACTCAATGGTGTAAATCAATTTGATTTTAAAATGTTCTGAATTTGCATTTATTGAAAATGACTGTCATAGTATTTAATCTTACCTGGTGTGGGTTGATACTTTTGCATTAGTATGACTTCTGTAACCATCTGCTAGCAGAAATCACAGGCATTCAAAAGAATCTGTTAGCTACTCTTGACAAAGAGGAGTCTGGGTGCATAATGGCTGTTTGATAGGAATACAGTTACCTGGACTATGCAAAGTTTTTATATACAGCATCACATTGTGAGTCATTGACAGAATTTGAGGATTACACGCTGAATTATAGGAAAAAGTTAAGTGAAATTTATGGCATAGATTACACTTTGTTTAAATAAATGAGAAAGCAGAGATGGTGGAATCAGTATAGAACAGGTTATCTGTTAAAAAATCTGGCTCATGAAATTGTTTTCTTATGAGCTAGATTAACATTATAGCTTTTAGTTCTTTGCACCATTATGAAGAGCATCTAAAATTACATATATTGGCCAATGTATTTATTCATTTTTAAGGATGTATAGATTGCTTCTGCATGGTCTCAGAATGTCATTTGTAAAAATCTGAACTATGTAACCCAGTTAGAAATAATATAAAGCATTATATAACAATATATAAAACTGAGAGAAATAATATCGAACCAGCTTAAAATACCATTATTATAAATGGAAAAAGATTTTGACCTGACTCCAAAAAGAATTCAGGCAAATCTCCTTTATTTATTTAGTTAGTTAGTTAGTTAGTTAGTTAAAACTTTTATATGCCATCCCTTATGCATAGCATCTCAGGGCGGCTTACAATCATTAAAATCAAAATACGACAAAGCAGTCCAGTATAATAAATAACATATAACCAGTAAAATAAATTAAACCAAAAGCGACTATTAAAACATTAAGATACTAATTTTTAAAATAATGATTAATAAAAAGGTTTTGACCTGGTGCCGAAAAGTATATAAGCTTTAAAGAATATATAGGAGGGTCTTCCAGAACCAGAGTTCTACTACAGAATTACTACAGGCTCTCTCTTTTGTCCATGCATAATATCCAAAAGCTGGAATATGGAGAAATCCATCATCTGGTGATAACTGGGCTAGCACTGGCACCTTGAATTGGGCTTGGTTGTGAATAATCAGTTTAATGTGGTTCCTACAAATCCATGCAGCCTGGCTCTTTGTAGGATAGAATGGCCAGGATAGTAGTTATTGAATTCTGTACTAGCTGAAATTTCCAAACAGTTTTCAAAATCAATCCTTCTGATTCCATTGCAGTAATTCAACCTAGAGATTACCAAACCATGCAGCACAGCAGGCTGGCTGTCCCTATCTAGTTGGGCCTCCAGTGTCAATGTTGAACCAAGCATTACCAAGCAGTATAGCTGTTCCTTCAGGGGAATCTGGCCCTCACTTCTGGAACAGGTAGTACACACTCAGTGCCACCATCATGTCACAAGCTGGCTTCAGTTGTTTTTCCTCACGCACAGCCCAGTGTCCAAACAGCACAGCTTCATCTGACTCTGATGACAAATACTGCTGAGTGACATCAGCATACCTCTTTCCAGACTTCTGGGTGACCTTGCCACGTGGCTTTAGATAAATCTAAAAGGAGTGGAAGATAGAAAGGATCTTGTAGAATTCCACACCTTGATGCCATAGCATTAAGCAGAATTCCCCACTCCTACACTATTTTCTATAACTGATCCTGCTGCTAAAAGTATATCCCCTGGCCCATAAAGTATATCCCCCGAAAGTATATCCCCTATCCCCTAACCCATAAAGCCAGCCCAACAAGATAACTTGGCTGATTGTATCAAACGCTGCTGAGGGTTCAGTGAGAATCAACTGTATTGTACTTCCCTGTGCAAGTGATAGAGCTCATGCATTAGAGCGACCAAGGGTTTTTCCGTGCTGAATGTTGGATTAAGCCTGGATTGAAGTGGATCTACATCTTGTGCGTTGATTTATATATCACTGTGTGTTAGAGTAATTGTTTTCTCACACTGTAGATATTACAGAGAGATGTTTCTGTCTCATATTACTGTTCATGATGGCATTGTTTCTAAAACTTAGGAAGCTGAAACAGGTTTATGATGTTAAGGTGATTGAAAGGGCAGGTATTCTTTTTAAACATAAACTATTTCTTACATGCTTGAATTAGATCAGTTCCATTGTTAACCAAAATGAATCTTTTAAAAAGATGTTTGAAAAAGTCTTGCAGATTATGACACTGTCCATGTGGACGTTGATACTCACAGAAATTTGCTGTACAAAATGTATGTTGATTTCCAATCTCTATGAAAATACTAAAACGAAACAAGTGGGACCTGTGACAAAACGATGCAGTGTATCCTTTCTCCATGTTTAGCAGAATAGGCACCTGTTGAAGGCATTTATTGAGGCCCCACAGCATCAGAGGGGCCTACTAACACCACTCCCTGAACTTGCTGCCGCTGCCCAACTTCCTTGTTCTCCTGCCCCTCTCTCAACCCAAGCCAGAAAACAGTGGTGGTGAAAGAAGGAGCAGGAGATATCGCGGTCAACTTGTTCCCTGGTTCTCTGACTGTTAAGCAAGCAAGTGATAGAAAGAATTGGAAAGAGCAGAGGGCGCAATAGCAGCTGGTAACGATGGTGGTGACAGGATAGGCTAACTGAAGGATGAGGGCAACTGACGTGTCTTGCCCAAGAGCCCTCAAAAACCTGCGGTCAGCACTATCGTACCCCTTTAAAAGGTGAAATTCTGCCCTCTTGGTTTTTCAGAATGTCCAGTATTTATGTATACTGTAGGGTTTACCCAAGCATGTTTGTACTTCTGTTTCTCATTGTCCCCATTTTGGTTTCAATCTTGTTGACATCATCCATGTGAGTTGGCTGTTAGAAGGATACACTTATTTTTACTCATATTAATATTGGCCAATACATAATAGGAGTTGTCCAAATCTTAGGCAGTACTTAGTAAATGTTGCATTTCAGATCTGTAAGGCAGACTAGGAGAAGATGTTAACACTCATTCTCCCATTTTCTGAGCCAGCAGATTAGCAGTTAAGACGCCCTGTTTTAAACTTAAGAAATGACATTTTTATTCTGTGTTTTCTTTCCAAGTTGCCTAACTGGGAGGAAATTTCTTGTTAGCTATTCTCCAAAATGTGAATACTGTAACACTGTTTGCTGTAACAACTTCAGGCCCTGCCTCTCATGGATAATAATTGAAAGGGAGTTTAGAACTGGGATTTATAAATATTTAAGTATTACAGGAAGCTTAAATCAACCTGAGTGATTTTTAGATACACATAAATCCTGAGTAGCTGCTTGACTTGCTATAGGATCAAGAATAAGAGTGCATTGGGACTGCAGCAGATTGATTTATGGTGGCATGCTTCATATTGTACAAAAGGAAGCACCAGCTTTCATTCAGCAGTTAGTCCATTTGTACATTGTTTCAGTATCACTCCTTGCTTATCTTATTCGTGGGTAATCCCCCCCCCACACTTTTTGAAAGCTCAGACATTTTCATCTTAAGAAATCCCTTCCCATTTTGTATTCTTGTTTTGAATATATGCCAAGCTGTGACTTGCCTAGCTTCTGTTCAAACTGCCAAAAATGGTGTGACTATTGAGCAGAAGTGGTAACCCATGGTTGGTCCTTATATGCTAGAGTTGGGAACAAACTCTTTCAGAATCCACACATCCAAGCATTTGCTGTCTTCCTCTTGTGCTCATTTTAATCTTCCAAGGTGATCTAAGCTGAGAAAAAGTCTGAGTGCTCAGAACTAGTGACCTTCTTCTGCATCATCTGCAGCAGCCCAGAAGGCAGCTGCAGCTGGCATGCAAGAAGGATGCTGCTTGCACAGCAGTCACTAGAAGCTTGCTTGGGAAACAGGTCTGCTTTCCGGGCAAGCTCCTTGTGGGCATTAGCTGCTCCTGGTGCACAAAGGTGCACAGCTGGTGGCTGCAGGGGGGCTGTCCTGGCCCATGAGGTGGTACTGCTTGTGCAGTGTGTGGGGCTCAGTTCCTAGGCACACTCTCTAGGAACTTGGTTTCTGGGCCACTGCAAAGCAAGCAGGATCCTGAGGAGCAAGCCCAAGGAATCCCAACAGATTCCCACTCACACATCCCTGGAATGTGCAGACCATGTCATATGGTGGTGTAGGTATGATTTCATTAGGCGTAATTGAATTCTGCAGATGTAATGAAAAACACCAATTTTGAGTGTGCTTTCAATTCTGAGTGTGGCTTGTACTTTTGAGGGAAATGTATCCATATTACAACAGAACAGAGTAAAATGAATTTGGAGTTAATTTGAGAAAAATGGAATGGTGATAAGGTAATTCTAAATGGCCTCTGTAGCAGGCCTTCAATTTGTCTATGAATCTGCCAGTAAAATGCAGTTACTTTTCATATTTTTTATGAATTTTGAATCTATTTGTTCATTTCCAGTGGCCTAGTTTGTTAAGAATCCATTTTTTCTGAATCATAGAGGTACAGCAAACATTAAAATGAACCAGACACATTAGGTTAAAGGCTGTATTATAGAACAGCCATTGCCCATGATGTCTGGAGTTGATGGGACTTGTACAGAGATGAAGAAGGCTGCTGTAGAAATATTCCTACCTATGACTCTGTGCAAAACTGTTGTGTATAGAAGTGGGTGGAACTAAGCAAAGACCAGTTTGTTCTTTGAGCATTAGATTGGGGTTCTGGAGGATCCACAGTCTAGTCCCCATTCAGCCAGGAAGCTCACAGGGTGACTTTGGGTGGGTCCAAGACTCTCTGTCTCATCCACCTCATAGGGTTGTTCTTATGAGGGGAAAATGGTAGAGGAAAAACCATGTAAGCCACCTGGGGTTCCTTGCAAGAAGAAGACAGGTGGGTTATAAATGTAATAATGTTGATGATAGCGATGCTTGAGACAGTCTCAGAGCTTCTACCAAGATAGATGGTTGTTAGCTGTTGTTTGTTAGTAAGTCTATGATGTGGCATACCAACAGGGCAATAGATTTTAAGTTAGGATATTTTCATGATACAAATATAATGAGTAGTCTGCTGAGATGAGAGGTGAACCAGACTGGCTCTAGAGAGGCCACTGTTGCTTCGTTGTTTACATTGCTAGAGAAAGAAGACTTAAAAAAACACATTTTGTTATTCTTGATGGCATGCAGGGCAGAATCCAGACAGCATGCTGCATGGGACTGGGGTGAAGACAGATCCTGAGCAGAAGAAGCAAGAAGACGGAGTAACCTTGGCTCCAGAGGACACACTACCTTTTTTACACTGCTACTGCTCCGGGCATTGCCCAGAAAATGCAGTTAATAACACATGCAAGTAAGCATTGCTGTTTTCTCACAAGGTAATGAAGAATATGATAAACGTTGCAATGAGATGAGAGGTTTCAGAATTTTCATCGCTTCTCCCGTGTTTCTTAATTCCATTTATTCCTTCTGTTCTAATTCTTACACTTTTACGGTCAAGTAAAATGACTGTTTTATTGCTTTAGAACAGTTCAATGTTTTAATCTATATCTAAAAATTTGATTGCATTTGACCTTATACATAACATACTCCATCTAGGTAGGAAGATTTTATTTGGTCCTTTTTTGTCATATTATGACTGCTGCTTCTTATTGCCCTCTAGTGTTTATTTTTATATAATCCAGAACTGGATAATGCATGAGTAGTTGATCAGTCTAGTAAAAATTCTCTTTCAAATGGAAAATCATCCAAATAATCATTAAGTTGTATGCAGTGATGGATCATCTATCTCCTGTTACCTCAGCTGAATGGTGACATTGGATTAAAAGAACTTCTTATCTTTTGATTCTTAATTTGTTGCCTTTAGCTGTCTTAAAGTTGTGCCTCCTACAGCTGCTTAAAGGCTGCAGTTCCAATCATATATAACAGGAAATAGCTAATGATACTGTACATTCTGTCAGGCGCACATTCAAGCAGATTTTTGTCTACTGTGGAATAATCCTTCATTTTCTTAGGGCACTGTATCTCCATTGTGCTGGAAGAAGTACAAGATGGTATGCTAATATATATTTGTTTGAATGCATGCAGAAGGATTATTGGAGATCTGATAGCATTTCATTTGTTCTAGAACTAATGGACATTGCTTTGCCATCATTGAAGAAGAGGAAAACGGAGAAATTACACTTGCTTCAGGCTGCATGAAGTATGAAGGCTCAGACTTCCAGTGCAAGGTACTTCAAATGTCTTTCAGTTGTTTTCAGAGTTGCAGAGAGTAGTTTCTATCCTTGGGTAATTTAAAATGATGCATCAGGTCTGTTACTGCAGTGATGGTTATAATATCATGCATTATAATGCACAGCTGCACTGGTGAATCGCCTGGATAAGATGAACAAGTTGTGAACTGTATTGCACTGAGACTGTAACATTCCCAGAAATGTTATGAACAAAATAACCACTGGTTTAGTGTATAGGGTGGAGCAGGATATCTTGTGTGATGAAGCTGCACTTACTGATTTAATTTAGTCGGGGTTGAAAATAAGCTGTAATAGAGTTTCTTAAAATCATTAAAAACATTATAACAGACAATGATATTGACACTGACACAGTCAAGTGGAAATTAGACCGTGTTTTAATGGGTAGGCAGCTTCCTCTCCCACACATACACACTCACTCCAACTTGGGAATTTGCTATTCGTTTCATACAGTGCAAGTAATTCAATCAGAAAGGGTAAAATAGGAAGGTGTATTACTTGTCAATTTTATAGACTTCTGCCTGATTTAAAAGGAGAAAAATATACAGGTGCACAATTTGCATTTGACAAGCAGCCTTTCCTTTTGTTGTAACATCTGTAGCAACTAAGTGCTCTTTAGAGAATTCCTGTGAGAGAAAAACATATTTTTATTCCGTAGGACTCTCCAAAAGCACAACTGCGGCGGACAATTGAATGCTGTCGGACAGATTTCTGTAATCGAGATTTGCAGCCCACGTTACCCCCTCCCATCCCTACAGGTACGTTGCTTGCTAATGTTCCAGAATCCACAAAGCCACAGGTGGGGCGCCTGAATGTGCACTAACATTTATCTTGCGCATTCTTCCCACTAGGGCCCTTCACCTCAGCAACTAAACTGAAATAGCAAAAGACTGAGCAGTGTAAAAACTGAAGGAGTTAAACACTTTCGACGAGCATAGATCCTAATGAGAGATCTGGGGAGATAAAAAAAGACTGGGGAAATTGAAAAAAAATAAAAAGCTGGTTGCTTAGCACCTAAAAGATGCTGGAGTAAAGTGCCATGCAAACATCTCTGGTGAAAGCATTCTGGAGCAGTGCAATCAAGAAAACCCTTTCCCCAGTTTTCACCCTGCTCACCTCAGACAGTAGTGACATCTGGAACAGCTCCTTTGAAAGTGACAGGTGTACAAGCAAGTGGATCTGGGAGTACACAGTCCTTCCAAGTGCCAAAATCTAAAGCCATAGAAGTAGTGGGGGCTGATGACTGCAGTGTCAACAGGACATTATATCACTCTGGGTTTTAGTCTGATCTTTGAAGGGTCTATCCTTGGTTCCAAGCCCTGTCCCCAAAATGGATTCCTGAACATAGTCCTTTAATAGTTCAGAATGCAGGCCAGATTGGATACAGTGCTGCAGTGAGATTTGAGCCACGCAGACTGGGTGCCAGTGAAGTTCTGAGCCTTTTAAGATACATTGCCCATGCTCAGTCTCAGTTATTTAGCTCACAGCTGTATTTCGCTGTTTGTGTTCCATCTTCAAGGGCAACTCCACATACAACTCATTGCAGTGACCTAGTCTGGAAGTTACCAGAACCTGAATAACCATGGCAACATTAGCTCTGTCTGGGGTGCTTGCAGAGCTGATCCGTTGTAGGGAGTGGAACTCCATCTGGAACAGATTGACAGTGTGAATCTGAATGCTGCTTCCTAGGGAACATCAACAGGAGCGGCCCATTCTCCTCACATCCTGCTTGTGGGCTTTCCCTTGGCATGTGGCAAAGGCCTCTGTAAAACAGGCACAACTATTTACCATCACGAAAAGATGAACTACCCACCATTTTGTTAGAAATCGCCTTCAGTTTATTGGCTTTCACCTGGGCCATTATTGGATCCAGAGAGTAGTTCTGTACCTCATCCAAATTAGATGTAAAAGATAAATAGTTCTGTCCTCAGCATACTGACTGCACTTTGATCCTCCTCTGTGGGTGACCTCAGCCAGTAGTGTCATTTAGATCAGTGGTGGCGAACCTATGGCACACGTGCTGCAGCAGGCACACAGAGCCCTCCCTGTCGGCACATGAGCCAGGTCACCCCAGCATCGCCCCAGCAGCCAAGCATCGGATAACAGCGCACATAGGGGCCATGCGCATGCTCGGACAGGAGTAGCGGCGCCTGGCCATGATGTCACGAGCCGGGACTCATTTGCCGCGACTCGTCCGAGCTTTCGCATGGCTGGTCAATGCACTGCCAAGGATGTATGTATGTATGTATGTATTTGCTTGGACAGGCCAAGAGTTGTTTTTTCTAAACTAAAACCTCAGTATTCAGGTTTTATTGCAGTGTTGGCACTTTGCGATAAACAAGTGGGTGTTGGGTTGCAATTTGGGTACTCAGTCTCTAAAAGATTCACCATCACTGATTTAGACAATGAAATGCGTGAGGGCAAGGTAAGAGCCCTTGGGGTCTTCAAAGCATAAAGGCCTCAGAGTCAAGAAACAGGAGTATGACTCAAAGCCAGCATATACTGCCAGCTGCAATCCCTCACCACATGCCTGCTGAATGAATAAAGGCAATCCAACAACCCTCCGTTATCATACTTTCAACTAACTACTACAGAGTTGCACAAAAGAAGGACAAATAAACACATGCTCACAGCAGACTTTTCCCCTTTCTTGACTAAAAATATTTCCAAAAGATATATTTAGCATTTTAAAATTCTTTTAATACTGTGTTTTTTTCATTTAGATGGTCTCTTTGATGGCAGCATCCGATGGATAGCCGTACTTCTTTCTATGGCAGTCTGTATAATAATTTTGATTGTCTTATTTAGCTGTTTCTGCTACAGGTAAAACATCATTGAGTATTTCTCATTTCCAAGCATTAAAGTACAAGTACTACAGTTGTCACCAACTCATGAAGTCCAGTTTTCTTTCAGTTTTGGATATTGGGCAGTATAAAAAAACTAATAAATCTGTATGATTATGAAAACTGTCAAATATATGGAAACAAATATGGCATGAAGTTTAACACATACAGTGCTGTGGCACAGTTGGGTGGCACACAGATATGTTAAATAAATAAACAAGACTCGGATGGTGTCGGTGCTACATATGGTGGAAGTGGAGCGAGTGTCGCGCTTCCATGGCCCTGTCTCCATTGAATGCATGCAGAAAACCCTGTGTGTGATGCTGGGCAAATGTGTCCGCATGTGCATATACTCCGTGTACTCCTTTTTGTGGCAGTCAGATTGCAGTTGCAGGTTAATAGATTTGAGGCTCAGCGTGTGGAGGCCAGAGTAGGGAGAGCAGAGGAAGCGATGGAAGTGCCCAACCATGCGTAGCCTGTGTTTACCAGAGGAATGTGTAAACTGGCCCTTCAGTCCAATATACACTTACCTGGGGTTAGACCCCTCTGAAAATAACAACATTTACCTTTTAATAGATATGCAGGATTGTGCTGCCATTCTAGTACACTATGAAGGTAGATGGTTGTCAAATCATGTTTTTTGCAGTTTTAAACTATATAAATAAGCATTTGTACTGTTGAACAGTTAGACAATCAGCCACTGCTATGGTGGCATAGCTCTTTTCTCTCTCCGAAGCATGCCATTGATGAAGAATCTTATTTTTATTTTCATTTTTTAAAAAATACGTATAATCCTGTTTAGTCATTTGCAGCATCAGTACCCAAGCGCTCAGGAAGGATTATAGCAGCAGCCATACAAACCCCCTGTCACTAAACACTGCAGTGATTTTAGTGGTAGGATCGTAGTTACATTCATTGCTACAAATATTTTGGATTAGAATATGACAGTCCAAATTTAGATTTTTATTTTTCAATTTGATCTTACTGCACATAGTAAGATAAGGGTGGGCATTGTACTTGTGCTGCTTTTTCTACTTGGCTGATCATACATAAAAGTCAGTACCTTAACCTTGAGATCTCATTTTATATATGTGGCATTATTATCCAGGGCCAGTAATTAAAATACTGGAGATCACAGGTTCAGTTAACATGTGATCTGTTAGTCCATGTAGTTAGTTCTGTATGCAGTGGTCAGAGCTTATCAGGTAAAATGGAAAACAAGCAAATAGAGCTTTTGTTGCACTCAGTGGTAAAATGTATCAATGCTCAGTATTTTCGCAGTTGTGCTACTGTGTGCATGAATGCTGCTTTTAAGAACATGCTGTTCCATGTCTAAATTTTGAATCTGTGTTTTTTTCCAGGCATTATTGTAAGTGGGTAGCAAAGAGGCAATGCTATAATCGTGATCTGGAGCAAGATGAAGCCTTTATTCCAACTGGGGAGTCACTGAAAGATCTTATTGACCAATCACAGAGTTCTGGCAGTGGCTCAGGACTTCCTCTTTTGGTAAGCTGCTGATTTACTGTGCTAAATAATTCTTTATTATGCAGCAGCTTTGTATTTAACGGGCTGCCTTGTCACAATCAGTGGCAAAGGATTAGCTGAAGGCAAATGGCTGGCAGAGAGCGGTTGGATTGCTCAGTCCCTCCTTCACCAGCCAGTCATGTTTCCATGCTGGCTGCAGAGGAAGGGGTTTCTCGTCTTGTCTTAAACATGTTTCCTTGGCAATAAACGCAAACATTTCAAAACAAAGAGGAACAACATACCCCACATCTTTCAGGTCCCTATATTGAAGCCACCAAGGGGAAAGGGTGATTAGTGGGGATGGAGGTTATATGTGGACAAACCCTTCTTCCCCCTCAATTCTTGCTAAGAGAGATTCCATATTCTCTGCCTCTTCTACTTCCTGCCTTCCTGTATTGTGGAGGCAGGAAGTGGAAGAGGGTTCTAGGCAGCAAGATTTCCCAGCTGGAGCAGATCTCCAAACTTATTTCTCTTTTTGGTATACACAGAGAAATCATTCAAAGAAAAATATTCAAAGCAGACAATTTTTTAAAGACCATAATAATTTCTGATGGTTTTTCTACGCATTTGGGAAACCTAGGTGGGACCTAACCTACAAGCATAGCAACATGAAGGCCAGTCCCTCCTTCTAGGAAGGAGTGGCTGACATCTTTCTGTGGCAGAAAAGGGTTTTTCAATTCTGCTACTTCGGGAAGGAGGAGCAGGGAAAAGAGCTTGTCCAGTTAGCTTCCTTAGGGATGAATATAAGGCCTCTACCTCTAATTATGAAGATTCAGTCACTGGGTGATTTTGAAGTCTTAGGGATTACTTTGAAGGTGATAAAAGAAGGGCTATTAACATACTGGCTGTGATATGGGGACAACTTAGTTTCTTACTAGATCAGAAAGGCAATTAATCTTGAAGGAAGAAACTAGATTTACTTAGTAAAGAAAAAAAATCTTATGTCAAAACAGTTTATGTCTACACATCGGGCCAGTTTGCCCATGATACTTTGCCTGTGTAGGCTTTTTAAATGCTATCATGGTTAAGACAAAGGTTACTTAAATGTTGAATAATCCACAGTAGCTGAGTTCACAGGACATGGTACAACTCTAATCCTCCCCAATCATGCATATTCAAAGCAGAGGCAGCATACACCATAAGCACTGTAGGTTGTTTAACCTATGATAACTCATTGAATCATACATACTGGGTCAGTCTCTTTCTAATTTCATTGAAATGTGCTTTCATATTGGGTAGGCCAAGGGCCGAGTATTCCACAGATGACAATCAGAATTAATTTTGGGCATAGCTGGTCATGATTTGGGCTATTCATCCTGCTGCCTTCAATGATGAGATTCTTTTTTATTTAAATTATAAATACAATCCCTTTTAAAGTAATTGAGTTCCCCTCATATTCTTTGTAAGAACAGTTTCAGAAATATTTAGATACTATAACTTCATCTTGTAAAATAAAATCTTCTAAATACTTTATCACTGTCCTTAGAATCACTTAGTGATTTCAGATTTCTTCTTCAGGTCCAGCGGACTATTGCCAAGCAAATTCAAATGGTACGGCAAGTTGGAAAAGGCCGATATGGTGAAGTGTGGATGGGTAAATGGCGGGGTGAAAAAGTGGCAGTGAAAGTATTTTTCACCACCGAAGAAGCAAGCTGGTTTCGAGAAACTGAGATATACCAGACAGTTCTCATGCGCCATGAAAATATACTTGGTAAGAAAGGAAGATGCAGATGTAGATATAAGGTTTTCAATTCCTATATTAGGCAGTCGATATAGTTTATATGTAAACCAACAATCTGATCAGAATTTAAAATGGAATGTGATAACATGTGTCCAGGTATGATGATGGTGATGGTGACAATGCATTGCATTTTCTTAAGTGCCTTTTTCATGTTTTAAGACTTGGAATGTAAATTTTAGGGAGCTAAACTCCACAGTATTTCTACTCTCCACATGAAGGGAAATTCTTGTCTTAAGAATCTGGCAGATGAAGATAGTGCCCCCCCGGGTGCCCCCAAAAGACTACAATGCCTGGGCTCAGGTGGGAGATGCTCAAATGAGGCAGTACAGTGAAGAAAACAGCATTTCATATCACCAGCAAAGACGTGTTGGTCTTCAAGACCAGGTTTCATGTAAGGATTTAGGGAAGCATTCAGTACTAATTATGTTTCTACATTTCACAGGTTTTATAGCAGCAGATATTAAAGGCACAGGCTCCTGGACCCAGCTTTACTTGATCACAGATTATCATGAAAATGGGTCACTGTATGACTTCCTGAAGTGTACCACTCTAGATAACAGAGCTCTTCTCAAAATGGCTTATTCTGCTGCGTGTGGTCTCTGCCATTTGCACACAGAGATCTATGGAACCCAAGGGAAGCCTGCTATTGCACACAGAGACCTGAAGAGTAAAAATATCTTGATAAAGAGAAATGGGACTTGCTGTATTGCTGACTTGGGCCTAGCTGTTAAGTTTAACAGGTAGATGATTAAGTTCCATATGCAACTTTCAGCATTAATATATGAATGGGAAAGTTAGTTGTGCATAGATGTGAAAAGTGTGATTATCTCATTTGCCTGGTTTGCTACAGAAAAAAGAGTATGTGGTGTTCATAAAAGAATAAATACTTTCTCTGCAAAATGGGCCTGGAAAAAATAACTGAAACAAAATATGTCTGCCAAATGTTCTTCAACTAGGTATGCCACATAATTACAGAAAATCCCCCAGCTGTCATTGAAGAAGAAGACGAATGTTAAGTTCCGCATTCTCCTCTTCAAATACTTTAGTAGCAATGAAGATAACAATTCAGTATAAAATCTTAAGAACTTTTAATGCTCAGTATTGAGTACCCAAGGCACAGTGTTGTAGCTGAATCAGTCAGTTGCAGAATAGCTCTGGTTTATCAATGCAAGCTATGCAAAATGCTTATTAGTTGTAAATCCATTGAGTCTTAGAGTGCCCATATTAACAAGAGACTGGGCAAATTCCTGGAAGTAAGAGCTATCAATGGCTCCTTATTCTAGGGACTGGTATGCTACCAGATGTTGTAAACCGTCCTGAGACTCATTGTCTAAATAGGAACGGTATAAAAATGTCTTGGATAATTAAGTATGCTATATCCAGTATTGGAAGCTGTGTGCCAGTGTATGCCGCTTGCTGGAGGACATGGATGGAATGATGGTGTTGCACTCTTGGTGGATTTCCTGTGGCCAGCTGTGTTGACCACTGTGTGAAAAGAATGCTGGACTAAATAGACCTGTTGAATAGTCTAATTCAACACGGCTTTTCTTAACAGGCAGATTCAGTGTACTGCTGTAAAGTTATTTTCTTTTTTTAATAAGCAAAAACAAGTTTAATAATATTATGGTGATTACTTCTTCCTGCATCTTATTTTTTACCTTGTTTCAACCATTTAACTTTTGTAGCGATACAAACGAAGTTGATGTCCCTTTGAATACAAGAGTGGGAACAAAGCGTTACATGGCACCAGAAGTCCTAGATGAAAGTCTAAATAAAAATCATTTCCAACCTTACATCATGGCTGACATCTATAGCTTTGGCTTGATAATTTGGGAAATGGCCCGACGTTGTGTCACAGGAGGTAAGGCATAAATCTTATCTTCAAATCTTGTATTCATGTCATAAGCCAGGCCGTAAGTTAAGTCATTAAAATGCATTTTATTGCCTTCTCAGCAGTTCAGTCAGATATTTTTCATCATAAATATTTAATCGGCAGATCCTTCTTGAGCACTGCAGTGGCTTTCTGGGAGCTGTGAATGAGTTTTGAGGGGAAGCTCTGAAAATGAAGCTTTCCTGCTGACCCCGTGGCCACCTCCCTGCTCCAAGGTGACAGGCTAGGCAACACTGCCCTGTTTCCAGAGCAGCCTTGCTGAGCCCATGGCCAGCACTCTTGGCTGCTGCCTTTCTTGCTTACTGTTAGGCAGGAGCAGAGAGCCGGCAGCTGTGCATGTAGGAGTGGGAAGGGGGTTTGGCTCCCCAGGGTTTCTATGCATGTGTGTATACACACATACTGGTCGGCTGGGTGCATCTGCACCAGATGGGGCAGCACTCACCCCAACTCCTGTCTGAGAGTAAACCAGGAGCATGGTGGGGAAGGGTTATTTCTGTGGCTCGACTCTGTGTCTTTGGTCCATTCTTGGGGCAGCTCTACTGAGCAAATTGCCAGTTCCGAGGTTCCTCCTGAGTGGCTTACTTCTAAGCCGGAGCTGGGAGCTGGCAATCCATTCTGGAAAGCTTCCTCAAAAATGAAGCAGCAGTACAGAATAGATTAGATCCACCTGCCACCTGCTGCAGAGGTTGTCTTTGGAACAGAGATGCCCCATTAGCTCCCTGTCCTCCCTGTTGGGCTTCAGATCATGAGCCCTGTTTAGACAGCACAGGCTCTTGGACAGCCTCTGTGAGCCAAAACCAGCTCGCGATCACAGCTGCCAAAGAGGGAAACCTTGTTCCCCCCTAGGATGTAGCCTAGGATACTGGAAGGAGGACTCAGCGAGGAGGAGGGAGCAAAGTGACCATGATGAGTCCAATTGTCTGTTGGGCGATTTGGCACTTAATGGTAGCTCATCATAGTGATTTACTACAATGGGTTGCCAACGGTTTACTTCCAACTTGGTTTCCTGTTTTCTTTATCCCTTTCTGTGTAACATCTCTGTTTTGCATAGCTATCTAAATTGCTATGTATGCCATGCTGAACTCCTGGAAGGAAGGGTCGGTTACAAGTACAGTATAGTATTCTCTTTGAAATTGGAACATGGAGCCTTTCTAAGGTCAGCAGTGAGCAGAATAAGAAACAAGTTCAGTGTTAGTATAATGTCAGTATCAATGTTTATAGCCAGGTTAAATTTCTTTAATTTACTTGTAGGTATTGTTGAAGAGTATCAACTACCTTACTATGATATGGTGCCGAATGATCCTTCATATGAGGATATGAGAGAGGTGGTATGTGTTAAGCATCTGCGCCCAGTAGTATCCAATAGGTGGAATAGCGATGAGGTAAGCATGCTGGAAGGAGAAAAAAAACCAGTTGTTGATTATTTTTGGCAGGTATTGAAAAAAAGGATTGATCTTGTCTAGGAGAAACTTAAGCTGTTTTTCACTGGCTGCTAATCAGGATTTTCTCCCTCACCCTTTAGGGCTACTAGTTCATCAGTCTTCAGCATCTTGATCACAGTCTTGTTCCCCTGTGCTTTTTCATCTCTTCGGTCTTAAACCTTGACCAAAAATAAACAGTAATACACAGTGGAAAATTGTGAAAAAAAATTCCAGATATGAGTTAGGTTATTTATAGAAAGCAGTGGTCTAAAAACATGCATTTTCCCACTTTGCATAATAGCAGTTGCAGAATATGAGTTTCTTGGCCAGACCTGTACATTAGGTACTTTTATTTTTTATGTTTCCAGAGGAACCTATAGAACTTGCAATCTGCAATATGAATTTTATTGTTTATATGAAATATCCTCCACTTCAAAATGTTGTCATTGGTGACCAGAGTCAGTGACCCAGGAGTAAAAATTGTTCATCAACACTTAATATAATATCCTGTTTTGTCTTCCTCTGTTTAGCAACAGTTTAAGCTCATCTATTGTCTATAACTAGCAGAACATATTTGTAATGATTATCAGTGAGTGTTAAAAATGTTCTTTCACTCGCCTTTGTTTATGTAAGAGTTCCTTTTTCTATTTTATTTTCAGTGTTTGAGAGCAATATTGAAATTAATGTGTGAATGCTGGGCCCATAATCCTGCCTCCAGACTTACAGCTTTGAGGATTAAGAAGACCCTTGGCAAGATGGTGGAATCACAAGATGTTAAGATTTGACAAAGAAATACCACTGAGGAGTGAAGTTTGGACTCCTAGAGCTGTTCACTCAAGGAAGCGTAGGTCTGATGAAACGGGCAAGGGTGGGTCTGAGTTTCGGCCCACTTTCTTGCCACTTTTACAGGCTGCTAATATTAAATCTTTCAGTACTTTGTAGAATATGGTATCCATGTACACTGTATGTACACATATGGATAGCCTTGTTTTACTTTTTGTTTTGAGCTGCATTGAGATTTTCATCACACTTTCAAACTCCCATAGAACTCTTGAATTCTGAATTGCATATTCAGATTGTAGTGCTTTCTGTGAAAGTCTTAAGTTAAATGAATTCAACAGCATTGAAAAAAATAAGCTTTTTGCCTACTACCTGTTGACATCTTTTCAAGTCTTGGTGGAATCGCCCATGGTTTTGAGCCTGGGATACTACATAATTTGAGAATTCCTTATGCCTTTCATGGTTTTGTGTGTGTGTGTGCATGTACATGTGTGCGTGTGTGCACGCACATGCATGCATACGTGTGCGCAAGGATTTTTCTCCTGCCATTGGAGTACTTAAGCCATTTAATTTCATGCAAAGCTACCCTTTTCTTCCATAATGCATTGGCCAAGCATATGACAGCTATTTGGATTTCAAAGAAAATTAGCTTCTACCTTTCTTTTGTGCTGCATGAAAAAAAAGTTTCATAACCAAAAATAATAACAGCTCCTACAAACCTATGCAGTAAGTCACATCCAAGTTTGATGTGGAGAACAGACCATAATTCAGTTCATACACCTAATACTATGGATTTCTGAAGACTGAGCATTGCAACATGGAACAGCTGAACCTCTCTGATAATTTAAGTGCCTGTAATCTTGTACTGTAAATTGTACCCTAGCTAGCTTTAAAAAGGGAAGTTATTTATATAGTGTTCAATGTACGTTCATTTGCTAAATATCTGCTCTTTTGTATATGTGTAAGTATAATATACACAGATCTGAAAAGACTTTAAAAGTAATTATGTTTAAATTCAATCAGATACACTCATGCTGAATGTGACATTGAAAAACGCTGGGTAGTCTGTCAAAGTATGTGCATAGATAATACAGAGATTTTTAAATTTCCCTTTCAGGGGCATTCAGTAAGAAGCTTGATGCAATATTAGTGCAAATTCAGATAACAATCAAATATGGGAGTGTGTAGTTTTTCAGAATACTGTTCCATGAGTTGCAAGTGGTAAATGGTCAGGCAAAATATTACAGTATTTTTTTATTTATATCTTGGTGTAAATTTTTATTTAACATTTCCTTAAGTCATTGCTTTTTCAGTAATGCCTTTAAGTATTAGTACATATTCAGTTGAATAGTTCATGGGTACATAAGCTATGGATTAATTTATTTTAAACACAGCAAACCATGGACAACTTTGTGCCACAGATCTTGTACAAAAGATTTGTTCTTTTTCCGTCCATTGCCAGGAAAACAATTGGGCTGGTGTTCTAAAACCTATCTCTTCTTTTATTTTGCACAGGTAGTTGGTAAATATTTGGCATAAACCACCAAATTATTCTAGACCAGTTGTTTTCATACTCTGTGGGCTCAGGGAATACTTTTCATAATCAACCAATGTTCTGAGGAATATCTGTAAGCCTGCCACAGAACCCTTCCCTTTAAAAAATGTTGAAGATATAAGACATTTTAAAGATGCCCCCAGTCCTCATGGAGCACTGGACAAGATGGTGGGGCTTCACAGTTACCTCTCATAAGTTGACTGCCCAAGGCAGCTCTTGGTTCTGACTTTGCATTGCAAACCAAGATAATAGCTGTGTGCATGCAAATCTCTTGGGTGAAACCTCTCTCCTCTTGCTGATCGTGAGGAACTTCAGCTGATGAGGAACCCAGAATTCCTGGGAATACAGATCAAAAACCACTGGTCTGGATCAAGGCCTTTTTCATTAAAATTCCATTTTAACACATATTTGTTTACAATTGTATTACGAGCTGTCTCAGAAAAACTGGCAAGGTTTGTTTTCCATCTTCTGCCTGTATTTTTTTAAGTGCCATGTGGGTTGAGTAGCTTTATTACTAGTGGATTATGTGCTGAAATGTTGACTTGAGGCTTTAGAATAAAACAGAGCAGTCTAAAATTGCCAATACTGGATCAGAGCCATTATTCTTAAAGTCCAGTATATGTTCCAACTGTTATTGTACCAATGGGCTATTGCCTGTACCTGTTACTTCCTAGGAGACCATACTGTACAGCATGAATAGCCTTTATCTTGGAATACACTGTATTCTGTAGTAGAACTGACACAACTCCAGCATTTCACTTTCTTTCTGGAAGCACCAAATTCTTTAGAGCTATGCAAATGTTATAAGTGAAATCATTTGCCTTGTAAGTCTTGAGATTATTACATGGGTTTTGAATTATTTTCCATTCCATTCCTTTTGAAAATTGAGTACCAGTAACTTAATGGCAATGAATAGTCTTACTCTCTCTCAGAAATTGTGCATATTGTTGGGTTGTTGTAAGCGATTATATCATGTGGCAATAAGTGCTGAAATCTTAATTACTGAAATATGGGAAATATGTCCTTGTTTGTTTTGAATGTTAATTCATCCCACCTCTCACCCCAGTATTACGGTGTGTGCTCCTTTGACATAGGAGCTATGAAAAAAGTACCATCTGCCTTTCCATTTCCAAGAATCATGTCTCATTGGCCCCTGTTTTTTTCCACCTAGATCCTTGGTCATATTTATAAATACATCTTACCTGTATTGCCTTTTTTGAAGTGCATCTCTGTAACAGTTCTTTGAATCACATTAGTGGTCTAGCCAAAGCCAGGATTAGGTGTTATTTGCTATGTGAATAGCAATATTACCAGTTGGGAATTTGTAAGATGCACATGTAATTCATAAGTATTTATTAATTTGCAGTTGAGGTGGATGCAGAAAGCTATTATATCATGCATCTGTGCCTCTTGTAGGACAGAATCCTTCCTATTTCTTAAGATGGGGTCACTGTCACTTTGGACTCATGAACACATTTGTTTATTTGAGAAATTGTTGTGTGCACCACTGCAGAGATGACTCTCACAGATGTAGCTGTTCACCTAATGGCTGCTGTGGAGGTCTAGTTAGTCAAAAAACAAGTAATTTACCCAAAAAACTGAGTACAAGCAGAGAAAGGGAACTGAAGTCTATTTAATCCAACAGAGGTATAGTAAAATACCCATTTGCAACTGTATGGATCTATAGAAACCAGTGGGAATTACTTCTGAGTAATAGGATTGTTCTGATCATGCTATACCTTTTCCAAGCCCCCAAAGAAAGGAAAATGCCCCCAGCCCCAAAGGAAAGAAAAAGTGTACCCCAACTTGTTCCCATCAGGCAAGAAAACCTGGGACCCCCTTCCCCTTTTTTCCCCCAAGGGTTTTCATTTGCTTTTGAAAGAGGACAGGGAGGCGAGGGCTTTGTGGGTGCCATTGGTGGTTCCCATGCCTTAATACAGCTGATTCAGTTGGCTAAACCGCCCTGCACATGAGCTCCCACTGCATTGTTTTGGCACTTTTCGCACTGCAAAATAAGCAGCATGGAGCCAGTTCACTTGTTGAGCCAATTATGGCAGCCAGATTGTAAAGAGTGGCACTAAATGTGGCAAAGCAAAATTGTGCAGAATTTGTCGGCATATTTGTATGCTTCTCAAAAAATGATTTTTTTATGCCAAACGGATTCTGAAGTCTCCTCCCCCACAATAACTCGATCCTTTTCATACTGATACGTCACTGTTGTCTGCTGCATTTTGGATGCATGCACTGATGATTTTTTTTTAAATGCATGCTTGCTAATGTCTTCCATTATACATTGCACAGAATGTTTCATGAACAGCAAGTATATGCCTTGGAATTATGGATTTCATCTAAAAAAAAGAATTCATACCTTGATGCTTTGAGATTAGTTATACAGTTAAATTAATTGAAATGTAATGTTTTGATAGCTACCTTATGCATTCTAAACCATACTTTTCAACTGTCCCTTTTTTGTGATGGATCTCCAGCCTTTTGCATAGTTGTGCCACTTCGGGAAATTTGAAAGAATCGACATGAAGATCATTACATTTAGTGCCCATTTTTAAAGTATGCCATATTCTGAATGCATTTTGCAGTAAGAAACAGTTAAAACAAATAGAATGAGTGCAAACCTGCATTTGGAATTCTCTGTGCTTATGTAACATGTACCTAAAAGTTAATACTGTAATCAAACTGGGTAATATAAAATCTTTTCCAATTAATTTTCATATATGAGGCAACTTACTACTTACCTTACTGTAAGGAGTCAAGTTTATAGGTACACATTTATTGCATTTGAAAAAAGATGCCATAATTTCAATATACGGTCTGGAAATAATTGAATTTCCTTTTGGTGCCATTAAAAAATCTTATAGTTTCACATGCCATTAAATTTTTTCTATAAAAGCCTACTTTTCCCTACTGGTTGATATGTTCTACTCTTGATCATATTCCAAGAATTATCTTCTTTATGAACCCATCCAATACTGGCTTTTTTCTGTTACCAGCATGCTCCATTTCCTATGTCTATTTAAATGTTTTTCACTTTTTAGCTATCGTTCTTCAAGCAGCGCGAACTGTTAAACATCATTGGCTGGTGAATCCAGAGTCCTCCCATGCTTGTATTTGCACCTTGCAGTGCATGGAAGGTAGCATTTCTGATTTCTCCTGCATAGAACCTCTGTGATAAAAGTGAGAGAGAAAGTAGGGATCCTCAACATCTGTAGGTTCTCATCCCTTCAGGTACATTATTTGGCCTCCAGGTGTAATCTGAAGTGTTAGGCTCAAATTTTCTGTTCACTCTGAGGGCCAAATTAAATATTCAGCCTGTTGCCTGGTTTGGTGTGAGAGGATGTTAATTTGCATGGTTTTCAATGAAGGTGTTTTTCATCTTTATTTGATCAGTTTTCTAGCCTTGTGACCATAAAGTATAAGAAAATTAGTCTAACCTCATTCTTACTGAATCCCCAATATTTGTGTTACATTTCCAGAACCCATTCTTACAGAATACAGGTTTTTGTAATGAGTCATCTAGAACCTTGTTTTCTACAACCCTCTTGAAATGAATGGAAGATGGTGTTAACAAGAGAATTCCTGTGCACCTCTCTTTCATCCCCAGCTTGCATTAAAGTGTCTGGGGCATTCTTCCAAAAATTAAAAGCTTACTAATATCAATGAAAATTACTTGATTTGGAGTGAAAATTACTTAACCCTTCTCCAAACACAACTGTTTAATTGAGTACCGTATTTTTTGCTCTATAAGACTCACTTTTTTCCCCCTCAAAAGTAAGGGGAAATGTCTGCATCTTATAGAGCGAATATGTGTGTGCAGTAAGTCTGTCAGATGTGCAGCCCATGGGGAAGTGATGGGAAATGTTCCTGTGATTATGTGCCCATTTGATTCAGAATATTTTTTTCTTGTTTTCCTCCTCTAAAAGCTAGGTGCGTCTTATAGAGCAAAAAATACGGTAATTGTCTTGTCCCATTAAAACCCCTGAATGCAATATAGAAGCCCGTATACTGTATCCATGTTTTGTTCTCTGACTTATCCATGCCCAGTATAAAAATGTACTATATTGTATACAGAGAGAATAATGTAGCTAACCAATAGAAGATGTAAATAAAAAGAGAGGGTGAAACAAGCAGTATGATTATACTCTTTTTGTTAAATATATGCCGGAACTGTAGAATGTTTTTAAATGTAACAGGCTAAATGTCTTTTTGTACAGCATCTGATTTAAAAGGTGCCTTAAGTTTACCATGAATTGCTTTGTTCTGTACACAAATTTATGTCAATGTATCATTTTTAAGTAAATAACCTTATTTTAGTAAATATCAGTAATATATGTGTTTGTTTACAGCATCTACATAGTAGCAGTCTTTCAGCTTTGGTTTTTAGCTTGATAGTACATTGCAAATGTTCTGCCTTCAGAGAACCCTTTTCCCATTGCTTTTTTCCTCTTCAGGAACCCTTGACCATCTGCCACAGAAACCCAAGGTATAACAAAGAAATTTCACTGTGGAATGTCACTCTGGGGTTCTCCAATTCAGGCTGCTAGCAAGCCATGCACTTTTGCAGCGTAGTCCCATTCAATTCTCAACTGGGACTCTTTTGAGGGAGGGGTGGTGGGTGGTAGGCTGCTCCTCTGGAACAGCATTCTGGTCATCAGACACGGTCAGTACTTGTTTGGCTATTTGCAAGGGACGATCCTCCCCCTTATTTTCTGTAGCATTTTTTTTTTTTTTGTACTTTTGCATAGCTTGAGGTTTCCCAGGTCCCACCAAAACCTTTAATGTGAATGATGCCATTTTTCTTACATAAGGATCCACACGAGTTGGCAAGCAGTGTAGTATACCCAAGGACATTCACGCAGTCTGTGAAAGACTCTGCCCTCACTCCACATGAATGAGTGGGACCTCAAGGTACTCCAGAACAGTTTGAAAGTCCCTGCTGTATGATTATCCAGACGCTTCTACAACATCCCTGGGATTGTGTGTGCCTTAAAGTGAGTATGGGTGCAACACATGGCATTGCAAATGGCCACATCAGGGGAGCTGATGTTGGGATTGTGGTATTCTTAACCAGGAATGCTGAACACCATGGTTCTTCCTGGGTTTTCTTCAGTTTAAATGACTGTTTGAACTGGAAAATAAGCCATTTCTGTTCTGCAGTCCTGTCTCTTGTGAACAAAAAATGTATTCTTAGATCATCGCAGAGTCTGAAGAATTTCACAGCATTGTATTAACACTTGCAAATGGTGAAGCGCACACTAGATGATGGTATGTCATTTTAATTTAACCTACAATGTAATTTTAACCTACATAATTTCATGCAGGCAGCACTAATTTTTTGCTTACCCTTGCTAGTTTTGACTATTTTAATAAGCATTGCCTTAGCAAAATTTGTTGAATGGCTTTTTGGTGTTCATTTTAACCGCTGTACCATACAATCAATGTGCATGAAAAACAGGAGGATTTTAAAAAATAGTTCTGAGCATTGGTACCTCTCTTCCCAAATCAAGCCCATTAACTGCAACAGGATGTACCTCCCAGTAAACAAAACAGATGTTGCAAAGGCATGGTAGATGCCATCATCTGCCTTTCTAAAATTTATTAGCAATTGCCCTTTTGACTGCAAAACAGAACATTCAGGAGCACAGATTGTTTGTTTCCCAAATGTAGGTGTATGCACGCATGTACATTTTGATAGCATACCTTCTGTTTTCTCTGCCCAAATGCCCAAGTTTTATATATAGGTATGGGGATAAATAGACTAATCAGCTCTTTTCTGAAATCATTAGTGTGCACTTTTCACTATATGGTATACTGGAAGCATGAAGGAAGTGTCCATAATCTGCTTAGATGAGTGAAATCAATGAGTCCGCCAAAACAACCGAGCCCATTGTGGGTTCATTTACCAACAAGAAGCTGCAGTACCTGGTGGCAACTATTATGATCATGCAAGCCATGGTCAGAAGCTGCCATGGCTTGTTGGGTCATCCAAACTCATGTGGTGAGTGCTGCTTGAGGTTTAAACAATCCTCATACCCTAAAACGCCATGTGTTAAGTACTTTCAGCCCCCGCTGCCTGAGTTCAGATACACAGCAACCCCTGGCTGTGACTTAGATATTTATGGTGGTAGATGACATGTCCTGTGGTACCCCAAGGGTTAATTACCCCACAGAAGGCTATTGTGTTATCTGAACCAGGTCAAAGTGTTTCCAGGACACACATCCTGGTATGGATTATTTTTACAAATGTGTAAAGAAGAGCACTAAAGCAAATGTCAGGAACAGAAAGGCCTAAAGAAAAATAGTAAAACTCACTTTCATTTCCTGTTAAGTTTAATAGTATCAAAGAACATGCAGATAATTTTAAAAAAGTATATTCACAAGGCAAAGGATTTATCTATATACATTGTTGGAACTGCATTAGAATCACACCCTAAAGAAGTTAAATGTTTTGATAGTATATAATAGACTGGTCTAGAAATTAACATTTAATGTCAGAGTTTTCAGGGTGTACACTGAACAAACACTCATTTCTGAAAGTTTCTGTGATTCATGCCCTCAAATGAAATACTAAAATTTGCAAAGTAATCCACAACCTGTGTAAGGTAAACAGGAGTGGATAGATAAGCATATACACAAGCAGTAAATCCTATATGTGTCTATTCAGAAGTAAGCCCTCTTAAAGTCAATATGACTGACCCATAAATCTGTATAGAATTGTAGCCTAAGCATGTTAGCATGCTTAAAGGCTCAATCATCATCGCACAACAGCGGCTACAGCCTAGCTATGCAACTGTGGATAAGAGAGATGGGCCTATTTTGAAACTGAAGAAGGGGAACAGAATGAAAGATGTCACACTGCTGTCTGACTGAGCGGCTCTTCAGCACAGAGAAGAAGGAAAATGAATGCCCCTTTTCCTCCTCCATGCTTGTGACAGTACTAAGTAGCTAACGAGCTATTTCTAGAAAGCAGCACTGAGCCAACTTGAGGAGAGGACTACCTTTAAAAAGGCACGTAGCAAACCTGAGAGACTATATCCTCAGTAGTAACTTTGCTGTGCTTATGGGAAAGGATCACTCACATTGAGGCCCCTGGTCAAGTTTTGAATATCAGAAATCCAGCCATGCTCAATCCTGCCGGGTTCTGTGTCACAGCAGCACCCTGCACCAGTTCAAACCACATGTGCTCCCCTCTCTTGAGCTCCACTAGCACAAAATTAGTTAGGGAGCCTCCGTTTGCCTTTCTCTTCTTGTTGCCCATCAGGATCATTCTTTTCCCATTGCTTAAAGCCAGTCGGCCCAAGGCAGGAGCTGGAGGAAGGTCCATGTTGACAGCAACCATATAAACAGCATTATGAGGGGCCTTGAAGTAGCCCTGTTCAGGAAAGTAACCCTTGCCGTAATTAAGATGCATCCCGCTGAAATGTGGTACATCTTCTCTTTCTTCTGGATATCTTACATAAAATGCCACGGCTGTGCCTACATAGGGGAAGAAAAGGGGATTATACAACAAATGTGATTCTATAAAAAAACCTGGAATGTTAAAGTGTTAATGGTAGAGACGTTTCCAAGGTATCCCAAACCCAGCTTGGATACAAATTCGGAGATTGTTGGAAGGCCACTCTGAAAATTAGGTGAGGTGTACAGATCACTCAAGTTCTCAACAGGACTGGATTTTGATCCAAGCTGTAGAATTCCTAACTTACCTCCAGCATTTCTGAACATCAATTGTACCATCCCAAATACACATTTCCCTTACTTTCACTTCACTCCTAAGCAATGGAGGGCAGCAGCTAAAGATGTGTGGGGAAAGTCATAAAAGGTTTTTCCTGTCCCGCCTCATCATCACTTCTGTGTGGCAGAAGTTGTTTCAAAGCTGGAAGAGCAAAATCTATAGTCCCATCCTTCTTTCATGTTCTTGGCAAGTACAGCAGGATAAAATGAAGACAGGAGAAAGAAAAATCCCTCTGCTTTTCACAGAGTTTCCACAAAAACCCACAAAAAATGATGAGCATATGACAGCTTGCTAATTCCCAGTTGCCCCTAAGCAAAAGGTCTCGAAGGACCAAGAGAGTCGACACACTTGACTTGGCCACTGTAGGACTGGAGCTTGGGAATTTCACCATTCCTTCGCCCCAACACCAACGGCCCTTTTTTATGATTTTGGGATGACTTGTCAGGTGCTGCAGGGAAGCACCTCTGGAAGCAGGTGCTTTTGTAGCCACTGCTGGAGCATCACAGCTGCCCTTTGCAGGGGAATCCTTGCATAAATTGTACAGTCTCAGCCTTGAACTGTGACTGAGCAGACAATGAGGAAGGAGAAACACTGGAATGCAATATTACATTGTTATCCTGCAACCACAAGAGGGATGCTTGCTTCTCCCTGGAACAAGAAAATGGCTTTTGAATACAATGCACTCAAAATACTCTAAAATCCTAAAGCTCTCACTTTCGAAGCTGAAACACTTCTAAGCCACAGCTCAAAAAACCTGAAAGCCACTCTCTTGCCAAGAGATGGCGCTGCAGTACAACAAAAACCCTTTGAGAAGCACATCTCATCGAAAGAACCTCTCAAAGTTCTGCGTGTTCTGGATCAGAAGGTTTTTCGCACTCAGTGCACCAAGGTGCATATGGGGGCTTGCATTCATATCCATGTTCACATCCCCATGTCAGTTCTATAGGCAAGCAGGTGCACACCTGAAGAGAGCTATTGAGCCTTGTTCATGTTCCTCTGGTGCCAAAGTGCATTATATTATCCATGGAGATGCAGCCCAGAGTATCCACTCATGGGAGTTTATCCACTCATCAGGTCTATCATGGCGAGAGTTTCCTTGCACGTGCCAATATTCCATGTCATAGACATGGGAACTCGCAGGAAAGCAGGCCTAACCCACATGGTGTGCTGGTGTGCTGCTCCACATGGTACTTTATGTTGCAACCTTTTTATAAAATTAGGGTATTGCCAATGCATTACTCTAAATTCCATGGGCCGAAACAGACAAATATTTACACAAGGGTTATTGTGTGAATTAAAAACAATCAAGGGGGGGGTGGTTGGGGTTGTCCTCACAGCCGCAGTGGGACAATGTGGTCCAAATCACCCCACCCCCCAATCCAACTAGACTTTACCGTGGAAAGAAAACTGTCCACATTGCCACTATTATCTTCTTTCTCAGTGCAAACAGTAACAGCACAGAGGGTGGGATCATGATCAGATCCAAGGTGGGGGCACAAGTGTGATTACAAATTGTCTGACTTGGATCACATCTAATCTGCTAAGGTACTCAAAGGTCTTTATGCAAATGATACAGTGGGCAAAGTTCCTAAAAAGTAGGATGTGATTGTTAAAGGATGTTACTGGAAGAAACATACCTGTCTCTGGGATCTCTGTATGTATCTTGTTTCTTCCATTTAAGTCAACTTCTCTGTGGTCACCAGGCTCTTTTGGATCTTTCCTTTTTTGCCTCTCTTGACCTTTCAGCTGCTTCCTCAGCCTTCTGCCCATCAACAACTGAATCTTTGCAACATCCAAAGTGACATTGGCAGCAGCTAATTCTTTTTGACTTCCAAAGAGCTTTTGGAAGATCTGTAGATGTTCCTCAACGTTTTGCTGGATTAATGCAAGGTCTTCCCTCAGATTCTCCACTGAAATGCTAAGTGTTTCAACTAAGTCGGCCTTTGTCTGATTACAGCAGGAAAGAGTGCGATCCCATTGCAATGTATTTTTCTTCATCTCCCTGCTGAGGTTCCCAATCTCTTTCTTTAGGGTCATGAGATCATGATATGCTGGATTGTCCAGGGCATCCTCTATGGAAGCCTCATGGTTTGGTTCCATGTCTTCTACTCTACTGGGCTGGGTGCTGACCTCTTGTAATGCGTCTTTTACTTGCTTCTTGAGGACAGAATGCTCAAGAGACTCATGGGTATTGGCGTTGTTCTTGTAATCCATCTCCAAAGTGTCAATTCTCTTCATCAGAGATTCCAGGTTCTTACTTTGCTTTTGGAGACTGTCTGAAATCAATCCAACAGTCATCACTTGAAGTGACGGCAATAAAGCATCGGGATCATCTTCCAACAAGACTTCCATCGTTTCCTCTCCAAGCAAGGCCTCAAGTGCTTTCTCATGTCTCATTGCATCTAAAAGCAGGGAGTTGAAAGAGCTGTTGAGATACTTGATGTGCCCATGTATCTTCTCATCGTTTCTTTGCAGGATGCTGATGTTCTCAGACAGAGTCTCAGTGTGAGACTTAAGAAGAGACGTGGCAACTTCAAGCTTCCGACTCTGTTCCTGTTGGAAATGGAGAGACTGATGCATAAGGGGGAAAGCTGCTGTAAGGTCTTTTAAGCGAGCCTCCAGTTGCTTCATTTCTTCTCTGTTGATCTGGGTGATGTTTTCTTGATCTTCCTTATCAACACCTGAAGGAAGACTTTCACAATGGCATGCTTTCACATACCTCTGCAGTTCCTGATGACTTTCTTGGATATTTGCCAGAGTATGGTTGAGCGCTAGAATTTTCCTTTCCTGATCTACTCTGTTTTCTTCTATTATAAGACTCTTCTCCATTAAATCTACTCTCAGCTCCTCCATCTCATGCTTTGAGTTGGCTTTTAAGGCCTCGATTGCATTAGTTAGTTCTTCATAGTCCTCATCTGAGGCTTCAAATAGTTCCTTGAGTTGTTCAGCATGCCTTGCCAAGGTCTGGTTTACAATCTGAACTTCTGCCACAGTGAATGCCTCCTTCGGACTGCCAAATTGTACTGCTAGGTTCCCATTAAGGGCCTCAAGCTCACGCTGAAGCTTGTGCTGTTCTTGCCTCAGGCCTGTGAGACTGCTGTTTAAGGCTGACCACTGAGAGTGCTGCATCTTGTGGTGCCTCTTGAGCTTCATGTCCGTGTCTGCTTTGATCGAGGTCAGGTTGTAGTGGATGGCCGCCTGCTGCAGGTGCAAATGACTCTCGATGTCTCTCTTCATCTGGTCGGCCCTCAAGAGGTTGGCTTGAACTTTGGATTCAAACTTGGCGCCCAACTCTTGCAGGTCTTTCTTGGGCACAGTGCTTTCTTGGAATCTCTCTATGCTTTTCCTGTTGGCTTCGACATTCTGTGAAAGGTTTCTCAGGGCGAGAGAAAGCTCCTGCAGGCTTTTATTAAAGCTTGCCCAGACAGGGTTCAAATGCTCTTTCAAGAAACTCTCCATGTGAGGCAAAAGTGGGTGCAGGAGGAATTGTCCCTGCGCATCTGAAAAACAGCATGAAAACAATGCAACAGAAGAAGAGCATGAACTTGCGGGGAACTGGAAGCCCCCAGGGCATGCCTGACACTCTTTGACCCACCCCAGTGCAGTGTTGGGCCCTTTTTCAAGGCAATCTGCAGGGCAGTGGGGCAATTTGGGGATGGAGCATCAGAGAAGGAAGGCTCAAGTCTTCTCATGCACTGCCATTCTCCATTCTGCTTCAAACAGCAATTAGATATGAAAAAGGCCTTTGTTAGAGTTGGGGAAACTTTTCCAAGCCTAATTAAATCACAAGGGGAACTTGGAGTTAGCACTTCTTTCTTCAGTAACGAGGGAAATGGTTTCCATGTGCTGCAATTAGTCTAAAAAGGCAACAGTGTGTTTGTCCAGCCTTGTTGCCACACGTAGATGGGTGGCCGGCCAGGAGTTCCTGTGCATGTGTGGGGATGGGGCAAGAATGTGGCTGGGTACGTGTGAAAGGGGTGAGTGGGCCCTGCCCACGGATGGCATGTGTGGTTGCATCAGCCTGTAAGATGGGTCATTGTCCTCTCCGCCCAGCCCCTTACTGCATGACGCTTGCCAAATGCCAGCTATTGCTTTGATGGCCAGTTGTACCCAACTGGTTTCCATATCCGCTGCATTCCCTCATTTTACCTTATGATGGGCCAGATCTGTGCTTCTTTAGTTGCTTCCAGGGACGATGCTTTCCTCCTTCAAATTGCTTTCATTTTTTGCAGAACAGAGTGCAAAGAGCAAATTGCAAACAAAGAGTAATGATTTGGGGCCACCTCTTCCCTTGGGATTTAATCCTAAAATCGTGCAGTTGGGAGTGGCCCGAAAGCCATTCGGTCCAACCCCTGCTCAGTGCAGGACTCTGAGTTAAACCACCGGTCTCAAACGGCTGTCCGGTTGCCTCTTGGATGCCTCCAGTGTGGGGCAGCCCCTAACCTCCTTAGGCCATCGATTCCATCACTGTATCGCTCAAACAGCTGAGAGGTTCTTCCTGATGTCCAGCCAGGATCTGACTTCCTGTAACTTGGGCCCCTTATTCTGTGTCTGCACTCTGGGATGGTCAAGAATAGACCTGCTCTTCCTCTTTATGACAGTCTTTCGAGAACTTGGAGAGAGCTATCCTATCTCCCCTTGGTCTTCTCATCTCCAGGCTAAGCACGCCCAGTTCTTTCAGTCTTCATAAAGTAAGCAAGAACTATAATAATATAGGAACACGAAACAAGTGCAGCTGCTGGTCTAAACCTAACTGCCCACCACAAGGATCAGACAGCCATCTACCCTGAGCATGGTAAGGAGCACAAAATTACTTTTTATATTATTGCATTCAAATCCCACCCTTTCCTCAAGGCGGTCAGGATGCTGTACAGTCACTCCATCCAGCTGCGTTCTATCCTTAGTTAGGCTGGGTCACATTGCACAGACCTTCCTGCCTGAACTGAGAAGGAGATGTGGAATTAGATTGGTGCACCAGTAAGATTCCACTTAAACACACAGGCATGTGAGACACACACGTGTCATCTATGAGTGAGTGTCTCATATAATTAAAAATATAATACGTGTTCCTTTATTATTATTATTTATTTAGTAAACTTCTATGCCGCCCCATTCACCGAAGCCTGGGGCGGCTTACAGCAATAAATAAGTTGCTTGCTTTATTTTATGCAGTTAGCTGACATTTGGCAAGCACACCAAGGCTGAGAGCCAGTGTGGCGTAGTGGTTAAGAGCGTGGGACTGGGACTCAGGCGATCCGGGTTCTAGTCCCCACTCAGCCATGGAGCCAACTGGGTGACGTTGGGCCAGCCACAGACTCTCAGCCCGGCCCACCTCACAGGGTTGTTGTTCTGGGATAAAACTGAGAGCAAAAGAGAAGAATGATGTAAGCCACTTTGAATTCTTTAAGAGAAAAAAAGGAGGGATGTAAATCTAATTTAAAAAAAAACAGACAGCCATTCTACAATTTCTACTGGGTTGCTTGCCATTAATTTGCGTCCAGCTGCACACCCAGCGCTTCTGACCTGCCCCTCACTCACACGCACCTGGATGTCTGTGGCTCCTTTCTCCACTTGTGCTGCTGTCATTAGGCTGCAGCGCCTTCTGTAAGACTCCCAGGTTGGTCGCTGCTTGGTGAATATCGTTCTGCAGATCCACCAACAACGCCTCTTGCTTCTGGTGGGTCTCTGTGATCTCTCCTGAATCCAGTGAAGAAGGCACTTGTTGCAAAGATGGGGCAGCAGGTAAATCCCTTCTGGGGCTTCCCTTGTCTGGAAGGGGTTCCCCAAAGGGGGGAAGGATTCCAGATCCTTACAGCGCAGCTCTACAAATGGTCCCCCACAACACACACACTGCCGCATCTCCCTCCGCCTGCCGCCACAGGCCTGGCTTAGCAACAGTGGCTACAAGTGGCACTCCCATCCTCCAAGTCAAGGTGCAGGGCAGCTAAGGCCAGGAAGGTTTTCCGGCAGCTGAGAATCCCGTAAGTGCCTCTCCCTCTGACTGGCAGGAAAACACCAGCAGTTAATTATAGGTAGATACAAGAATTAGCCACTGGTTTCTTCTCATAACACACAAAACCAGCTTCTGGTTGCACTGCCTGTCTCACTGCCACGTGGTAGGGCTGGCTCCACGCTAAATGCCCAGGGATCCACAGGTCCAGGAGAACTAGCAAGCAAGCCATTCCCCCAGCGTGTCAATTTCTCCCATTTCCACCTGCTCATGCAGCCCCAGCCGTCACTCAGTGGCATCTCGGCACACGGCAAACCTTACCTCCCCGGCTGAGGTTTCAGCGAAACCCCCACCATGCAGCAATTCTCACCATCCCTTTTCCGTAGGTTTATCTCATGCGAAAAGCAGTATATTAAGGACAATTACAATGATTCATTATTATCAGTCACTATGGATTATGTAGTGACCTTCTTTTGGCATGAACTTTTGGCCTTCTCCATTGCACAAAATAATAACTGTTTGTCTAGCGAGAGAATGGAGACTCGTTATAACAAGGTCCAGGCCGCATTACTCTAATTGTGGGAGAGTATTTGAATTTGAGCATACTTTGACTTGCAAATGCTTCTTCTTCCCAGCCTCCGGGCTGATTGGTGGCCCCCAGAAGAAAATTTGGCTCTGCAAACAAAATTGAAAATATCCCTGGTTATCCTTATGCCTTGGCTTCTCACAGTTCAGTAGAATGGGTGGGCAGGAATTATTTAGCTATTTATGGAGAGTTTCATTCATAAAGCATCCCAGATTTTAATCTAATTGTGCTAGGCATGCAGATTTTTAGCATCCCGTCTTAACAATGCTTACTTTTCAGTTCAACTCATTTCACATATATTCGGTATCCCTACAAAAGCCTTGTGAAGGAGGCCAGCCAGATATTGCAGATAGGAAGGCAGAGGCCGAGTGAGACAGACCTGCCCCTCTGCAGCCACCCCTGCCCCAAAAACCTTCTCTGGAAGGTTGGTTGACCCTAAATAGAACAGATCTCCTCCAAATTTTAGTTCGTTCTCCCTCCTGCATTGGCACCCAGCATTGCATCCATGTTGCTTAGGAAGGCTGCAGGCAGGTGCAAAGAGGAACGGAGATGGCAAAGCCCCTTTCCATGAACCTCGCAGTTCATAGGTCCAGCTCATGGCAGGTCACGTAAGGCCACCTACCTTGCCTGGCCATCGTCAAGGTAACATCTGCCTCACTGGGGAATTCCTGTTTCTCTGCTCCATCTCTTAGCAACTGCTCCCTTTGCTCTCAGAATACAACCATCCCCTCCTCTTCCAACCTGGGGACCTCTGAAGCATCCCCCTTCAGCCCCAGTCAGCATTACGAAAGGTCAGAAATAACCAAGGGAATAGTCCAAAGCTGGAGGGCACCTGGTTGGAGAGAGCTGCTCGACAGGATCCTTCTGGCTTAGGGCACCTTTATGTAATGCCACATCCACTTCCTGTGCTCCTACTGAAAAATCAGAAGCTTCAGGGCACATCGTCCCACATCCTTTCTGGAGACTGGGACAGTGTCTGACATGAGAGGAAGCTGTGAGGAGGACACCTCCCATGTGGAGAGGGTTTTCCGCGGCTACCTTTGTAACAAGAGAAGGAACTGAGCAATGCCTTCCCTGTTGATGTCAGAAGGAAGACAAACCAGGCCAGCATCCTACACAAACAGGGTGCATTCTGCAGGGTGACCCAGGGCATGTCCCTCCGGCTAGGTCTGACGTCGTCAGTTCTTTGCCTTGCGGCTTTTCTTACCATGGTGCTCACAGTTCTTGCCCATGTAGCCAGGGCAGCACTTCCAATGCAAAGAGGTGATGACTTTTTGCTTCACCTGGTAGACTGGATTCAAAGCCATTCTGTACCTAAAGAGAAGAAGCACTCAGCAGGTAACAGGTGGGCAATCTTTGGTTTTTGGGACCAACTGGGACTATGATAAATTTATATATAATAAATGAAAACAATCAAGCTGCGCTCATCTTTCCCATAGCATGTGCAGCTTTGGATGAGATCTAAGTCACAGGGTGGCCTCAATATTGGATTGCCCCGTTCGTGTCCGGAGTGGCAAAGCAATCAGGCAATGCGCCATCACATCCCAAGCCCAGTCATGTGACTTACTGGAGGGCGCGTAAGAAAGCCTTATCAAGGAGAGCTGGGCTTGGTAGGCTGGATTCCTTAGATCCATTTGTTAGCTCTCTCGAAACGCTGTCTGTGGCTGTGCTTATGGATTGTACAGCTCCTCAGAGCCAAATGCCGGCAGCTTTATCTGACCTAAGTTTTTCAATGCAGACTCCCAGAATGAACGACTCTTCTTGCCCAAGTTTGGAACCCTTCCCTGAATAGACGCAGAAACAACACTGCGTCTGAATTCCCTGATGCACTTAAGATACAGGTAAATTCAGGTTCCAGATCATCGGATCCAGTAAGTAATAAACATCCCTGCTTTGGCTTTCCAGTTTGTGACATGCAATGAATTTCAGTTTGTGTTCATTGCTGCATCTCAGGTAGCAATGCAATTTGCAGAGGAGCTGACCTGGGGCAAGAGATTGGTTCAGGCGTCTCTTTATCTCACAACCCTTGCGGTAAAGCCAAGCTATCTAAAATCTACGCTGATACAAAAATCAGCACATTCATGGGTGGGCAACTTCTGACCCTCCAGCTATTTTGGCCTACACCTCCCAGCATCCTTCACCATTGGCTGTGCTTGCTAGGTCTAATGGGAATTGCAGGCCAAAATGCCTGGAGGGCCACCTCCACTTCAGAGCAATCGGGACCCTCAGTAAGAGGAAGAGCTGGCAGCTTACATGATCTTCTGGCATTCTGGAGCCCCCTCTGGGCACAGCTCCTGTGACTTCACGATGTACTTCTCTGTCTTGCAAGCCGTGCTGTACGTGACCAGCCGGGACCGAACGAAGGAACACCAGTTCCTAGGCAGAAGGAAGAGGGAAATGCAGGAAGGAAATGTGACACCGACCACCATGGACTGCTTTGACACAATCAAGCACCCGTACTCCTGCAAGCAGGTTCTCCCTGCCTTCAGTCCAAGCCGTGTGGGGAGAAATCCGCTTGGGAAGTATTTCCTATTGTTACATAGCCATGCTGGAGGAGGCTTTCCTGTGGATTTCTGCCTTCTCCGTAGCACAGAGAGGACATGTTGTTAAGGCACCTGTTCAGTGCTTAAGAACCCTGCCCTGCCCTGCTTTTCTTTTCTTTTCTTTTCTTTTCTTTTCTTTTCTTTTCTTTTCTTTTCTTTTGGGGGGGGTCCATCTGTTGGGCCTGCACCCACAATCTTTTCAGTCCATAGCACTGCCCCTGGGCCATATACTGAGTGAGGCAGCTGGTCCAGTTAGCTCAGCAATATCTTTCCCCAACCCGCAGTTGTTCTGGACTACGAATCACATCATCCCCAGTGAGCATGGCCTGTCACCAAGGATGGTGGGAGTTCAGCACAGAGATGCACTAGTTGTGGGAAGGCAGGTCTCAGATTGGCAAAAGCGTTCTGGGGTTTTATGCAGGAGCGTTTCTTAATCCTACATGTGGGTGACAGAAATTGAGCCTGGGAGGTTTCACTCTGGAGTTGTATGAAACCCCTGCCCTCCACTTCTCTGTGCACAAGCCTCCAGGTTCCATTTTGGTTAAACCCCCAACCCAGCAGTTCCTGCTAGTATGCCAACTCTGACGCGCTTGCGAGTGTTCATCTCATTTGGATGCAAATCAAAGTTGGGCACTGGAGGAGCAGTGAGAACGTCTGGTGCACAGATGCAAAGCCCACCAAAGCTGTGCCCCCAAGCAGGGGCCAGAAGTCCCGTTAGCTGTGTTCATCCACGTCTACAAGGGACTTGAGTGGCTTTCTTCTCTACCAAGAGCCCATCTTCTGTAAAGCTTCAAGGCCCTAACTGCCCATTCTAGACCGGGCCACACCTAAATATTTTGCGTTGCACCAGAGGGAGTTCACAAAGCGCTGAGAAGAGGAATTTCCTTCCAGCTGCTGTCGGAGAGAACGGGGGATTCTGGTGGTGGGCAGATGCACTTTGACCCTGGCACCACCGCTCTCCTCCATCATATGCTTTGGTGAAAGCAAGGGGAAAGTAGTTCCCTGCCTTTGCAGCATTACAAAATGTCCCAGTGTGCATATGTGGTTTTTGCAACTCGGGGATTGTCAGGGCTGAACAGCACAGCAAGGCACACCTCTGCCTTCAGTCACCATCCTGGGAACGTCTTGTTCCTGGGTTGTCATTGCTACATCTGAGCCCGGAACTGCAGGTTATTTAGGGGCTAAGCAACCCAGGGCTGACCAAGCAATTGCCCAACTCTCAACAAGTTGTTTAACCACAAAATAACCAGAGCTCAGGGTTTCGAAGTCAACCCTTGTTCCCAAGTGGAGGACTGAAAACAAAAGACTGGAGAGTCTGAATACTATGAGCTAAGCAACTCAGCGTTAGCTTTTACACACGGACTGAGCCATTGGTGTGCAGCAAGCCGCTCTCGGTCTATTTCTACTCCAAACTGTGTTGGCAACTAGCCAGTCGTTGCAGCAAACAAGTTCTCTCCAGCTAGGAGCTTCCCTTCACATTGTACTGATATAAATACTCCTCTCTGGTAAAAAGGCAGGTGGATTAAGCAACAAAACAAGCCATAAATATTCACACAATGCCACTAGCGTCATGCCAAGAATTTGGAAAGGTCAGGAGCCCTTTCCGCCAATGCTGTTTGCATTGAGATAGAGTAGTTATTGCCTGGGGTGGAGAGAACTTGCCACTTCCAAAGAATGCCTGGGACTCTGCCGCAGTCTAATATCTTGGAGTGGAACAAGAGGAACTCAGGCGCTGATAAACTCCATAGAAGGGAAAGTTTCTGTCTGGAGTTGGAGTGGTCAAAACAATGGGAAAGCATATAAAGCTTCAGAGTGAAAGCTGAGGTCAGCCCTGAAGAGGAGGTGAGTGTGCGTGGAAGATTAGCGTCCTAGAGGAGGAGACCGATGAAAGAAAGAACAAGAGGCATGATCCAGCCCAAGCGAAACCTCCCACGCCTCTCAGGAAGAGGGGGAAGGGCTGGAGGGGGAGAGCTGGGTGCTAAGTGCAGCCCATGGGGCAGTGCAGGAAAACCATCAAGGTGTGTTGTTTCCCAGAGATACACCTCAGGATAAGCTTGTGCTTCTTGCTGCTAAGTGCCATCAAGTCATCTCTGACTGACGGCCACCCTATGAAGGAAAGCTCCCCAGATGTCCTTTCCTCCACAGCACAGCTCAGTTCTTGTAAACTCAAGCTTGGGGCTTCCTTGATGGAACTGATCCATCTGGGAGTTGGGTTTTCCTCTTCTTTTTCTGCATGCCCTATCATGATTGTCTTCTCCAATGAGTCTTGCCTTCTCACGAGGCACCTGAAGCCCAACAGCCTCAGTTATGTCATTTTTGCTTCCCAAGCAAATTCTAGCTTGATCTGGTCTAGGATCCACTTGTTTGTCTTTCTGTGTGTCCAAAGCTCTCCCCCAACACCACTTTTTGAACACCTCAAATTCTTTCCTGTCAGCTTTCCTCTCTGTCCATTTCCACACCCATGCATAGTGATCTTGTGCAGTTCTTGCCAACATCCAGATGAAGTCACAGACGAGTTTTGGTTTCAGGTTCTCAAGCATGGTCCAACAGCCGGAGAAAGAGGCAATCAAGTCCAGAGGTGGTAAGAGGAGAATTGCTCCATTGCACACAATAAATGGGAAATGCTTTTTTAAATGTTAGAGTGCTGCAATGTGTTGGGTGTAGGGTTGTCACCAAAGACTACCTGGAAGCTACAACTAGTCCAGAATGCAGACTTCTAGTTCAGATTGGGGCACCGCGGTCACATCTTGCCAATGCTTAAATCAGTGTCCTGGCTAACACTCTAATCCTATGTGTAATTCAAGATGCTGATGATTCCTTGTAAGAAGCCCTATTCTGTAAGACGGGGTCTTCTCCGTTGTGGAACCTTGATTCCACACGGCTGCTCCAGAGAAGCTAGCCAGGCATCAATGTTGCTTTCTTTTCAGTATCAGAAGAAAACCATCACTATCTTAAATAATTTTACTCCCTCTAGAATCGATCTTGTGATCTTTTTATTTACTATGTAATTTTAATGCTACTGCATTTTATGACCTATATTCAATTAATATTTTAAAAGTACAGTGGGAAAACATTTTGATAGGTGGTGGGTTATGCAATTTTGCAGTAGCAAACAAATGAAGAAACACAGTGTTCCTCCAAGGTTTTTTTTTAATGTCCCTGGAAGAAGGAAACTAAGAAAAATGGGACCTTTCTCTATTGCGGCTGTTTTCTACGTGCAGGACTACAGCTGCTGCTGCTGTTCGTAACACATGAAGGGCACAAAGTCCAAAGTCTCCAATCCTAAGCTAGGACACGGCGTTGCACTGGCGAGTAGCTCTGCTCTGGATTTGGTGAAAACCGTGCCATGTTTGTTTGGGGCAGGGGGTGTCTTTCCCAGTTGGGGGTAATATAAAGGGGCTTTTCGGCAGTTACCTGAAGCACGTTCTGGGTGCTTTACAAGCTGTGCTCCCAAGCTTCTCCCCACCCCCTGGGTGTGCCCCATAGCAGCCCTCACTTTGCTGCTTTCAACCCGCAAATAAACGCACATTTACGGAACGGGCATAGTTATATATGGTTGCTGGAGAAGTCCGGCAGCCTCAGGCATAGGTCTGTTTTCTGGAAGGGAAAAGAATTCATTTTCAAGGCTTCTTGTCTTCGATTATTTTGTGTTCCCCACTGAAATTGGCTCTCCATGTCTTGCCTCTGTTTTGCAGCCTGTGGGCTGGAATGGCCTTGTCCAGCCGGGGACCTTCCAGACGCGTTGGAGGACACCCTGAGTCATCCCTGCCAGCGTGACCTGTGCACACTGGGAGCTCTAGCCCTAGCCCGGCAGACGTGGAGGGACAGCTGCCACCAGGCGCTCGTGTTCCCACTACAACTAGCCCCGTGCTGACATTCTGCATCTGCTTCTTCTCCACCAAGCCTTGGCAGCTGCTGGATTTTTCAATTTAGCCTTTGAAGGCTTAGCCAGGACCTCCTCCCATGGGGCTTCCCTCTGCTGCTGCTTGCTAAGTGCCTGAAAGCCACGCGAGGGTTGTGGTTGTTTTTCCTGAGCTGCTAACAGAAGACTTCTGATAACAGCAGAGCCCAACCAGAAGCTTTTAGGGAAGGTCTGCAGAAGGAATTCCTCCTAGCTAAGTCCTGTTAAGGATGGCGCAGGATGAAAACCGTAAAAGGACGAGCTCAGAAAGCCCTCCCGTCCCTCCACCACCTTCTTACATAAGGTAAGCCCTGGAGCTCTGCACCCTGAGACTCTTCCCCAAAATTCACAGCATCCCAATGCAAGGGCAGCTTCTAGCCAACCATGAACAACTGGACAGCATTCGCTATGCAACCGGCAAGTACTTCCCATGCCCCGTTCCTTCTCTTCCTCTCCTTCTCTACAGTAAATAGACTCACTTCTGTCCTCCGTAGGAGAGTGCTCTTGCACACACCCACGCTTGTCGCCTGACAACTGCAATGCCGGGCGGTGACGCGTGTGCAAATGAATGGTCACACCAGTTAAACACACGGATGGGCCTTTCGCTTTGGCTCAAGGGCACGCGGTTGTCAGTCACCGAGTGCAGGAGAACATCAAGTTGTCCGTGTGCCTCGCTGCCGGACTTTGACTCTCCGTTCAGCCATCCAGCAGCAGCTCTATCCAGTCTCCTCTTAAATTAAGGCAGGGAATTGCACCATCAGGATCCGATAGCTTAGACAAGCCACCTGCCGGTTCAACATGGATTGCCTGTTTGAGCTTGCACCGCAGGATTGCACGATGCAATGCCTCCAACTCTCCACAGCCCCTAGCTGCTCCAAGTCTGAGCACTGCTGTGTGCATGTCCTCACCACAAGTTGTGGTAGCTGTACGGG